GTCTACATTTTTTCTTCTTTGTTTCCTTTTCCTTTGCACAAGGAGGGCGGAGAAAAGACTACATTTTCTGGTGTGAGGAAGACACAGACCCTGAGGGCAGGAGATGTACTCTGAAGGACCTCTATATTATGACTAAGAACACAGTTGCCTGGCTTAAGGGGGGGAAGAAAAAATCTTTTTATGGGAAACCATTATCTGTCCAGCAAAGCCCAATCCGGAAATTTTATCTCCATTTAAATGTTTAGGTGAAAAGATTCATAAAGATTTGATATAGCTTTTCTTTTCAAAGGGAAAAGCTCTTTACCTCAGCCATGGGTTGCTTATTCACGTCCATGGTCACCGTGGCCTTAGAAAAATCCAAGGGCAAGGGCAGCCAGGATGTGTCCTCCCCCTCCCCCCAGCCAGTGCGTCCCCTGAATATAATACATTGTTGACATTGTGAGTGCCCCTCATCTCCATTTGCAGCTGTCTAGACTTGTCCTTCCTCCTAGTTCTTCTCAGCCTTTACCCCTGGCCAGGGACAGCCGACCCCTCACATGACTCTAGGTGTGAGGTCTTCTCTATCCCCCCTCCTTGGTACCCTCCTGTCCACTGACCTGTCCGATCAGGGCCTGTAGCTTGCATGGCCTGGTGCTGTCCACCTCAGTGTTCTCTGGGTCAGCAGTGGCATGAACCAGCCGCCACCTTGTGCCTTGGCACTGTCAAGATACAGAGAAAGCAGAAGTTGTGACCCTGGAAAGAAGACTTTTAAAAGTAACAGAATTATTGAAAGTCATAGGTAAGAAAGGGAGAAACTAGGTAAAAGCAAAACTCTCTCTCCTCTTTGTTTCTTAAAATGTGAGCATTTATTTAGGAAAAGAGTTACAGAGAAATTTTAAAGGATTTTTTAAATGTGAAAGACCTCCCACAAAATTTAAGTGTCTATGCATATCTCTAATATTTTAGATAAGTCAGGATGACAACAGAGTGACTATTCTTTTGTTGGGAATCAGACATTCTCTCACCTAATCGTGTGATAAAATAACCACCATGACCTTTAAAAATTTAATTTAAATCTAGAAAAGTCCTTTATTTTGGTATTTGTCAAAATATGAATTAAGGAAAAGTTCTTTTTTATTCTTTCATTTCCTAAATCTTCAAGGGTGAAGGAAGATCATCTCATCATATCTTTCTGTGATGAAGGTAATTAAAAGAGAGATTGAAACTTGGTTCCTACTGAAAAGAAATTAATAGATTGATGTGATCTTTGAACCATGAATTTTATAGAATAAATGGTACTCTGTAAGGAATATCTTTTTAGTATTGGTTTAGGGGTGGGATGGGAGTTGATGAAACGCCCAATTTTAAAATCTTGGACAGAACTAACTGAGCAAAATTCAGTGACCTAAAGGCTTAATGTTCCTCAAGGACTATTTCATTCACCACAAATTGATTTCCTCTTGATTTCACCATAGCAGCCATTGTGAACATTTTTGAGGATGTTTATAGCAGAAGATGAAAGCTTACATCTCAACAACAAGAAAACAAAAATCCTCACCACTGGGCCTTTTAGGCAACATCATGAGAGATGGAGAGAAGATTGAAGTAGCTAATGATTCCATCTTGCTTGCATCTACAATTAATACCCTTAGCGAAAGCAGTTAAGAAATCAAAATCCATGCTTTCTATAAATTTAAACTAAAATTACAATTTTTAATAAAGGAAGAAAGACGTGTTGTTTTAGGGAAATTAGCAGTTGAGGACCTCTCCAAGATGCTAAGAGCAACTATGTCTGTTTAAAGACTAAGGTGTTGTGAAATGAACCAGTTTAAACGCACCAGCTGCTCCACAGGGGAAAAATGAGGCAGTCTGCTGTCTTAAGGACTTACAGTCATGGGAACATTATGCGCCAGCCTGTTCTGTCCTATGTGGGTGGCCTCTGTGAATTGGACTCAACTGGAAAGCAGCAAGTGGGTATTTAAGGTAAAAATATAAGCAGTGATATTCCCTTTACTAGAGAAACTATAAGGAGTTATTACTTGCATTTTAAGTTTCTGTCTTTTCAAAGGAAAGAACAGTTAATATTTTTCAGAAAAACTTTATTTTGCAAATGCCTTAGAGGATTCCCCCCCTGTGCTCTTTTGTATCTCCCCTCTTTTATCTCTGGTGCCTTCTTTATTCCTCAGCCATTATTATAGTTTCAAAGCAGTAGCAGGAAGAAACGTGGGACAGAAACACAATTTAATTTGAAGATCTCAAACAAACAAAATCCACGAGTCCTCTCAGCCCAATGTTCACAATCCCCAGGGGCCAAATCTTCATCCAGTCACGAGACCCCCATGATGACTCTCCCCATTACGGTTTTTATTCCTTACCCTGGGGCTTGCTTGCTCTTAGTACTTTTTCAGACTCTCTCCCTCAGTTAGTGTCTAATCTCACCTATTCTCTCACCCTTTCTTTCCCTATTTTAGTCCTTTCTATGCCTTACAGAATTCTAGGTCCCAAATCAGCAAACTCTCCTATGTCTCCAACTTCCCAAACATACCATGTACCTCAGGTCTTAACGGAAATCCAGATGTTTGCTGAAGATGCCACTGCCTTGCAACCTTCACATTCACCAGTGCTCATTTCCATATTCCTTCCCACATTCTTCTAAGTGCATCTCTTTTGGAAATCCCAAAACATTTTCTTCCTATCTTTTCTTGTCGTCTGCTAACTCCTTCCTATTTACTCCTCTTTGACGCTTTTTGCTCATATCTTTCCCTCCTCCATCATCGCTGTCAGCATTGTCAGTGATTTTCCACAGGCATGCTGTACCCTGTCTTCTTTGACATTGGCCACTCAACTTTGTCAACTTTTCTTCTCGCCTCCCTTGGTCGACCAGACCCACGGGTATAGCCTAGTCTTCGTCACCGTCAGTAACAGCAGCCTTTAGAAATAATGCTCAATGAATTACCTTTCCAATCCGCTTACTACCTGCCCAGCTCACTTTACTGCACTATATACTTTATAACAATTCTTTGACCCTCAGCCCTTATTGTATTTAAATGACTGCCTTCTACTATTCCTCATTCCTCTGCTGTTCTTACATAGATTTCCTAGACATCATTGTCCACCACTTCCATGTAAACCCCTCAAGAAACTTTTTCCTATTTTCTTTCTTTACATTCACCCAATGAAACCTTAATCTGCTTGAGACCATATCTGTATCAAAGTCACTGATCTTTGTTAGAAAAATGGCATACTGTACTTAAGGGGTAATTGTTGTTGTTATTAGGTGCTGTGGCATTGAGTATGACTCATAGCAACCTGGCAGACAACAGACCCGGATCCTGTCCTATTCTGTGCCATCCTCATCTTCTTTGACACACTTGAACCCATTGTTGCAGTCACAATGTCAGTCCACCTCATTGGGGGTCTTACTCTCGTTTGCTGTCCTTCTAAGAATGATATCCCTTTCCAAGGAATTGCCTTTTCTACAACATGTCCTACGTATGAGAGGTGAAGCTTCACCATCCTTGCTTCTAAGGAACAGTATGTTTGCAGCCTTTCCAAAATAATCACATCCAAAGCCATGCCCCTTAGGGACAGGAATGATGAAACTTCATTTCACTTATTTTGGGCATGTTGTCAGAAGGGACTAGTCCTGGGGAGAAGATATCATACTAGGGAAGGTGGAAGGCAAGAGAAGGAGAGAAAGACCTTCACCAAGATGAACTAACACAGTGACTATAACAATGGGTTCAAGCATATCAGAAACCACGAGAATGGCACAGGATAAGGCAGGGTTCAGATCAGTTGTTCATAGGGTTGCTATGAGTTGTACTTGATGCAACAGTACCTACCAACAACAAATCATGATCCTCCCAAATGAGCATCCAACAGTACCCATGAGCCCTACTACCTTTTCCTGGGGAGTTTCTCCTGTGGGAAGTTTCTCTTTCTCACCTTACACGTTGCTCTCAGACCTCCTACACTTTCTTACTCCCTCCCTCCTGCCAATAATCCTTCCTCATCCTTCACTAATAAAAGTCAACATTCTCTCATCTTCCTACCACTAAATTGAAAAAGTTCCTACTGGAATACAACAACAACAACAACTCAAATGTTCCCTGCTTTTCTGTATTAGAGTGTGATGGTTAATTGTATGTGTTAATTTGGCAAGGTTTTATAGTTCCTAGTCATTTGACCAGAACCTAGTCTCATTGCTGGCATGGAATAAATCAGGTGACCTTGGATAGAACAGACTACCTTCCATAATGTAATGTGATGTGATGTGATGTGATGTAATACAATGTAATGTAATTAGATCTATTATAATGTAATTACTGTCCATAATTCATGTAATAGAGTCAATCAACCGAGGTCATGCTACCGAAGTGGATCCTAAACCTAATCACTTCTGAGTTACACAATCCCTAGAATAAATGCAGTCATACCTATAGAGGAAGACAAATGGTATGTGAAAATTGTCTATAAGCAAAAGTACACCCGGAGTCACTAGCAGATCCCAAAACCAGGAGAGAGGCTCACAGAAGAAATTCACGTGGCTGAGATCCTAATTTGTACTTTGAGTTTCTAGAACTTTGAGAAAATTTATTCTTGCTCTTTAAATAACTATTTAATTTTACCAACTTTAGATAACTATTTTTGTTCTTGAGGAAAAATCCCCACAAAAAAATATCCCTTGTGGTATTTCAGATGCAGTAGCACTAAGAGCTAAGAAAATAAGACACAAAGGAAGTAGAGATTTTCCAGCTCTAACTCCTCCTTTTGAAGGACCCCATTTCTTTGATTGTTTCCTTTCTTTCCAGAATCGTCAATCTCTCCTTTTATAATCATTTTCATCAGCACAATAACCATCCTTCCATATGTGATGTTAAAAATAACCACCTTCCTTTATTCTTTTTTATCTTCCAGTTTTTCCTTTTGCTTTTAAACATCTCCCAACCTGCATACATTTGTTGTTTCCACTTCACCTCCCATTCTCTCTTACTGCATCTTCAGTCTGGTGTCTGAATTCACTCTTTCACAGAAATGTTCTTGTCAAGATCACTAATGACCTGCAGGTTACCAAATCCAATTGACACTTTCTTGTCTTCATCCTAAACTTTCAACAGGGGTTCAGGACATGTTATAACTTCCTCTTTCTGTAAACACTTCCACCCTCTAAGATTTTCTTCTACTCCCCTGGACTTTTTTCCATGTCAAATATTGCAAGCCTTCAATGTTCCCTCCCGTTCAAATCCTGTATTAATGTTCTTGCCACACTTGATTTTTCCACCTCTCTGGCTTGACTATGTCCCTAAAGGATGCTCCAAAAACGCAGTGTTCTATGTGTTGTGCTGCTAGCCTAGTTGTCAGAACCTTGATCTCACTAGCTGGTGAGGAACAATCAGAAGATTGTCCTTAGAAACTTGATGAAAAGTCACTGTGAGTTGGAATCAACCCAACAGCAGTAGGTGGGTGTATATATGATGCTTGAAATGCTAACTGCAGAAGATCAAAGTCTATAGCCTTTAATATGGATTACATCTCAATCTCAAGAAAACAAAAGTCCTTACCACTGGGCCAATAGGCAACAGCATGCTAGATGCAGAAGAGAGAGGAATTGTCAATGATTTCCTTTTACTTGTATACAGCTCTCCTGGTACCAGCAATCAGGAAAGAGGGGGAAAAGTGTTATATTGGGAAAATGTGCAGTCAGGGACCTTCCAAAGTACTGAAAAACAACAATGTCTATTTGAAAACTAAGGTACACCTGATTCAAACAGAGGTCTTTCTAATTATTTGCTTTGCATCTGAAAGTTGCAATGAAAAAGGGTGACAGAAGAAGAACCGATGCCTTTGTGTTGCAGTGTTGGAAAAAAGCACCAAATGTTGTATGGACTGCCAAAGAAAAAGAAATGTCTTCACAACCAGGAGAAGATAAAATTGATAAATGAGACCTTCTAAATATTAAATCCCTTTGCTCAACAAAAACTTTTCCCAACAGGGTGAAATGAAAACCTACAGGCTAGGGAAAAAACATTTTCCAATACCGTCTCAGACAAAGGTCTCATATAAAAAGTTTACAGAATTCTGCAAGGCCTCCAGAAGAAAAAGACTAATAACACAATTACAAAAAAGGGAAAAAGACATGGAAAGACTTTGCACACAAGAAGACATTAACATGGTTAAGAGACAAATGAAGAAATGCTCAAAATCACTGGCAATAAATAAGATGCAAATCAAAACCACAATGAGATATCATCTCACCCCAGTAGAAGTGGCAAAGTTTAACAGGACATCAAGCAATAAATGTTGGAGAGGGTGCGGAGAGATAGAAATTCTCATATATTTTTGCTGGGGTTGTAAAATGGTACAACCCCTTTGAAAGACAGCTTGGTGTTTCCTCAAAAAGCTGAACATAGAAATTCCATATGACCCAGATATTGCACTGCTTGGAGCATATCCTGAGAAAGTTAGAACTGAGACATAAATGGAGATATATACACCAATGTTCATAGCAACATTATTCACCATCGTAAGAACATAGGAACAGCCCAAAGGTCCAACCACAACCAAATGGATTGAGAAACTGTGGTACATTCAGTACTTAGGAGCAATGATTTTGTAAATTACTGCATAACATGGAAAAGACTGGAGAGTATTATGCTGAGTGACCTAACTCAGTCTTACATGGACAAACACTGAATAAGGTCATTATTGTAGAAATAGTTAACTAGTAAAATGAGGATGAGGGTCCATGGTGGGGAGGGTAAGAGCAGAAGGGTGAGGATGGGGAGGGGGAAATCATAGGGTCACACAATTTGATGGGTGGAGGGAAATGTGGGTAAAGGAAATGAGAAAGATCTGACAAGGATCTGGAAAGACAGTGTAACGGTGGACATAGTTCACTGTTGATTAATTTGATAAAATATAATGAATGGGAATGATTGTATAAAACACAATGTGAATGAAGGACAGAGTGAAACACAATCTTTGTTAATAAAATTTTATGTTTTTTTATTTAAATATACATAAATTAAAAGACCTGAATATGCCTTGGAGACAGTACAGCCAGAGTACTCCTTGGAAGCAAGGATAGTGGGACTTTGCCTCACATACTTTGGGCATATTGTTAGGAAGGGCTGGTCTTCGCAGAAGAACATCATGCCTGAAAAGGTGCAGGGTGAATGAAAGAGGGGAAGACCTTCAATGAGATGAATTGATACAGTGACTGCAATAATAGGCTTGAGTATGTCAGAGATGATGAAGATGGCACAGGGTAGTGTGGGGTTCAGAGAAATCCTGGACCTTGAACTATCATAAGATCTCTATGAGTTGTAGTGGACTCAGCAGAACCTAACAATATACTATAAAATGTAAACCTCTAGTTCTCATCTTTTTCTTGAGCTTCAGACTCATATGTGCAACTGCTTAACTATCTTCATTTTAGTATCTAATGTGAGCCTAAAATTTGGCCTATCTAAAGCATCCCACAATAAAAAATTGCCTGCCTTCCAGCCTCCTGTAGTTCATATGATGGAACAAACATAGACTCAAAGCGAAATAATAATAATTATTAATAATAATAAATAATAACAAAGGAGTTAGATTATGTCATGTGTTTTCCTTCTCCTACCTCCAATTCATTAGCAGATCCTGTTGTTTCATCATTAAAGTATTTCTAGCATCTTCCCATTTTCTTCTTATCCACAATCACTACTCTCTTCCCAGGTAGTCTCTGCCCCTCAGGTCAAGGGTGGCATTGGTTCCCTGATGCCAGCCTGTGGTTCCTCACATCTCTGTTTCCCTTTACTCTGCACAGTTAAGAACCATCTCTTTGTTGAACTCATCATTTGTCCATTTTGAGTGCCATGTATGTTCCATTTGGGCTAGTGATGAACTCAAAACTGATAGCCAGTGAGTCTGACCTCATTTACACAGAGGAGTGGGTACAATGAAGTCTTCCTTGACAAAGTCCCATTTAAGCTGAATCCTAAATAGAAGCCACTGAGTAGGTTGAACTTCAGTCTTTCAGCTAGTCAACACAATCATCGTATGGGAGGAGATTGCCCATCTTTCTCCTTTGGAGGCATTAGCGGATTTGAACCACCAGAGCGATATGTCCTTTGGGTAGCTGACCACCACCTGTGGATGAAACTATCAGACATCTAACATTTCGTGCCACCCAGGGACTCCTTGGTCTTCATATGTAGCCTCTTTTCCTCCTCCTTGAAGTATACATCAAAAGGGGGATTAATGGAGGCATTAAGAGCAAATATTATACTTACCCTTTTGCACCACTACCCTCCATTAATCCCTGCAGTAAACATTATTTCTTTGTGGTTTACAAGAACAGTCCCTACTCATAGGTATTATGCCTTCTGAGAGCTTTATTCCTTGCTAACTCTTCCTCCCTGATGTCTCATGTCCTGTCTTCATCCCTCATGTTTATTCACCTTCCCCAAAGAGATTCTGTGTGTGACCAGTGTAAGTTTATGTCTTTGTGTCTATATATTAAGTCAAAGCAGACAATTCTCTGATGT